ATATGTATATATACATAAATATATATGATATATAATACATACAATATATAATATACATATTTGTAATATATAATATATATATATATATAATATGTATATATATAGATATATGATATAGTTAGTTATATATAATATATATACATATATGTGCATAATATATATAAAATGTGAGCAGTTGTACCAGGTTGATCCACAAACAATTAACCTGGATGTGGGTAGTGTCGAGATTCCTTTGCCAGACTCACCCAGGGGGTGATCTCCAATCTGAAGAGTGTTAAATCAGAGGGTATCTGCGGCATCCTAGCTAAAGTGTTAAAAGCTGGTGGAGAACCTATGGCAAGGAGCCTGCATGCTGTCCTGTCTGCCATCTGGCAGACTGCTACCATTCCGACCGACCTACTGCAGGGAGTGGTGATCCCTCTCTGGAAGGGGAAAGGGGATTGGTGGGACTGCAGCAATCACCGAGGCATTGCCCTGTTCAGTATACCAGGCAAGGTTCTCGTTCACATACGTCTGAGACCTATCAGAGACCACCTGCTGACGTACCAGAGGCCGGAGCAATCTGGGTTCACTCCTGGTAAATCCAGGAGGGTAGACTGGGTAGAGCTACTGTCCAAAGCCACTGTGGAGCAACTATGGGCAATATCAAGGTTACCGACCTTGACTTTGCTGATAATGTTACTTTTCTTTCCTAGTGGCAGCTATTGATGCATATGGCAATAAAGCGAAGCCCCTGGGGCTAGAGGTCTCCTGGACCAAGACCAAGATTCAGGATTTAGGGGCATGCTATGAAATCCTGTTCAGTCTTTACGTGCTTGCGGTGAGAACATCGGGGTCACAGAGAGCTTTATATACCTAGTGGATTTCATGACTCTAGGCTTTCAGACCAGGAAGTCAGTAGACGGATTGGCCTGGCAACAGAGATCACAACATCTCCCGACAGGAGTATTTGGAGATGTCTCTACCTGTGCAGACGGACCAAGCTACGCGTCTTCAAAGCCCTAATACTGCCAGTTTTACTATACGGTAGTGAAACCTGGACGCCATCTTGCGCTTTGGAATCCCGCCTTGATGCCTTTTGTAACAAGTCCTTGCGCCGGATCATGGGGTACAGTTGGCGGGACCATGTGTCCAACCAACGGTTGTACCGTGAGACTGGTACAGGACCTGTTACCTGCACCATCGGGATCGCCGACTCAGGTTATACGGGTACCTGGCTCGTTTCCTACAGGGTGATCCAGTTCACCAGGTTGTCTGTGTTCGAGACAACCCTATGTGGAGGAGGCCTGTGGGACGACCAAGGAAATCGTGGCTTGGGCAGATCGTGTAGAATTAGAGACGGGCCGGGCCTCAGCCTGGCGGCCTGCCATGAGGAACCCTCGTAGGTGGAAACGAAGGGTGGATGCAGCTATGCGCCCCCGTCGGTGTTAGCTCCCCATTTATGATAAATAAATAATCTAATATAAATATATATGTGTGTGTGTGTGTGTGTGTGTGTGTGTGTGTGTGTGTGTGTGTGTGTGTGTGTGTGTGTGTGTGTGTGTGTGTGTGTGTGTATGTGTTTTATATATATAACAAAATATATTTATATATAAAAATATATATATAAATATTCAGATGTCTTCTTTTCTGTTTATGTTGTTCATATTGTTCAATTCATCAACCACTAGCCTATCCAAATAAAATATGTTTCCGTTATTCTAGTCATTTTTGGGGGGGCATCCTAATTGTAGTCCTTTATAATGACTTGATGGTTTATCCATTGAGAAAGATCACTATTTAAATAGTAAACTAGTAAAGTTTACCATATAATAAAAAATAGTACTATTTAGTATAGCCTAATTTGTTTCTTTATCCTCAGCGTTTCATGTTGCAGTCACCAAAAATATGCCATTTTCTTTATATAAAAAAATATATATCGTCCCTGAGAATGTGTTATTGTTTTGCTTTAATGCTTTATCATCACAAAAACACTGGATATTATTCATTCCACAGCAAAAAAGTAACGTTACTTTTTGATCTGTTTTCAGCCCACTTTTGTAAGGCAGCTGATGGTATGGGGAAATAATTTCCTTGATTTCTTTTATCTCTTTTCCTTCCTTCCTGCACACCCATTTGCTGTGAACTTACAATGCAGTGTTATAATGCAAAAGAAAATCCATTGCAATTTCCTAAATAAATATTGTTAATTAGCTGAACATGTAACTTTAAAAAATATGGAAAACCTTAAAACATATCAATGAAAACAGACGTAATTTTAATAAAGCATTTATTTTTTACACATTATAATTGTCAACAAGTATATATTGTAAATTACCTTACACAGGTTTTTACATAGTCCGCAAGTCCTAAAATGGACAATAATGTGTAAGAACATAATATAGTCAATACTAAGACCTTACAAAGTACTTTACAGCATCAATGTAAGATCTTATTGATCACTTCAAAACAAGCAAGAAAATTATAAAATAGAGGGAATCATAATTCACACAGGGGTTCTACAACTTAAATGGGAATCAAATTCTAGGTATGGGGTTAAAGTTAGTTTTGACCCAGACAGGATGGAATAGTTCCACAGTTCCCAATATAAAGACTTTACAAAAAATATTTCCCTTTGACTTGGTAAAGTTTAAAATATGTTTACTTATATTAAATATGCACATAAAATTCTGAAAGAGCCACTCGATTCCTATTCGAATGACTAATACAAATACTTTGTTAAAGGTCAATGAATGAATTCTAAGTACAAAGTATGAGTGACTGGGATTAGGTAAAGGCAGAGGTAACGCTAGTCCAAGAAATGAAAACTGGACCTAATATTTTTCGATGCAAAATACCATGGCATTACTAAGTTTACCATAGCTAAAGTTTAAAGATAAGAAATCCTATCTGCATATGCAAAAAAATATATATATCCATCACATCATTTTCTTTCTTACTACATAGGCTACTCCTTACATCACATTAAGTGTCTAACACAGTAACCGACTTCACAATGATAAGCAACCATCCAGCATCCAACACAAACACTGAAGGTGGTAATGAAAACCATCTCGAATCATACTCCATGAATGGTTGATAGTGACTCTTCCTTATTTTATCTCTTAACCAAAACTGCTCACACTCCAAATTAGCACTGCCGTGTATATCAAAGCTTCTGAAACAAGGTAAGCTCTCAAAATTTATAAAAGCTAAACAAAATCTCTAATCTGGCTGGTAATATCATTTCTAAATGGACGTTATGTGCTGCATTCAGGTATAATGAATTTTAAGCAAAGGAATTTGAAAGTTTATGTGCATTTCCCTAAAGATATACTGCATACAAGAATCAAGTTATCTACAATAGAAAATATACTACCCCAAAAAAAAAAATTATTCTAAGTGCTTCATTAATATTTTACCATTCTAGCAAACATATATTCATAATACTAGACTGTAGACTTCTGAGCACTTTATACTTTCCCTCAAACTTATGTCATCTGTAGATGGAAGCTTTGTGAATCAATTGCGCAACTGTGACTTTATTGCATTCCCATAACAGCCATGGAAATCTACTGCACGCAAGTTTCTTAATCTTACAATTTATTTTCTATGAATATCCAGCATAAGAATGTGAAGCAAATTGAAACTCCATACAATCTTAATTTTAATGTCTGTTCATATATAAGTGACAGTCATATTATCTAAATGATGAACAATCCAAGCTTTCTTATATGTACAGGAGCTGTACAAGTTTCTACACTGCATTAAAATTGTACAGGGCCAGCTAAATCAAAGCAATTCCATTATTTTGACAGTATGATTAAAAAATATAATTTAAGGCTAATATTTGACACTTTCCAGAAAAGGTGGTTTTATCATTAATGTTGTGACCACTTTTATTTAGTAATTCAAAACTCACAGACCTTCCTTATATGTAAATGCACTTATTTAGAAGTTGATATGTGCAAAATAAAAATAGTAATTTAATCCGATATAATTTGGTTGTCTTCTACTGTTTCATTTACTTAACACAAGACTTATCACTTTACACAGTGGGTTGCATAACAAGTTCTTGAGTTCTCATGTTGGTCTTTGAATCTTGATAGCACAATGACGAACTGCAAAGAACCTCAAGAATTTACATCCTTGAGTAATTAGTTTGAGCTTTACTTCCCTTACTTCTGCCGTTTAGAAATTCATAATCTATGATATTGTGCGAACTGTTTATGATAAACTGCAAATAAATAGTGCTTTTAAAGCAACTTTTGCAATGGCAATATTATTCATATTTTTTGCAGATACTGAAAAAGTTGACTTCCAGTGGCAAATTAAGAAAAAAACCCAAATACCAATACATTTATGCATCTAAAGACTAGTTTCAAAACTGTAAATACCTGCATATCTTATATTAACTTTTGCTGAGGACAATGTTATTTGTTCAGTGGCTTTTAAAGACTTTACACTGATATCAGCATGAAAATTAATCACTCTCAAAGGTATGAGATTGTCATTAAACCTTGAAAATCAGTAAGAAATAATTTAAAAAGTAAAATAAAAAAATAACAATACTGATCTCTAATAAGGCTTAGCATAATACATTTTTAAATGTACTTTGTTACCACAATATGACTCCCTCCCCATCCTGCCTTTATATAAAATAATATATATCATTCCACAAAAAATTAAGGATATAATAGCTAAGCAGGCAAAACACAGGATTCTATTCTTCTTTTGTTTTCCCCTCATCTTAAATACAACAAACTAACACAGGAGGGAAATCTGCAATGTATAACAGGTGGCTTATAAAAGATTCAGTTTCGCACTATAAAACTAAAGAGATGGAGGATTCTCTCACAAGTTACGTCTAGTTGTGTCTACTCACTCCCAGGCAAAGGGTTTATGTGGATGCTTTGATGGCTTCAGCTTCAAAATACTGTAATTACCTGTATTTACAAAAAAATTGATCCCACTTTCTGTGATTCTTCTTTTTTCTCTTTTTTTTTTTTCTTTTTTTAATT